TGTGGCCCTGAGTAAGAATTCTCTGGCACTCAGTAACAATTCTGTCTGTCCCTGAGTAACAATTCTCTGGCACTCAGTAACAATTCTGTCTGTCCCTGAGTAAAAATTCTGTGGCCCTAATAACGTTTCTGTGGCCTAAGTAACAATTCTCTGGCACTGAGTAACAATTCTGTCTGTCCCTGAGTATGAATTCTGTGGCCCTAACTAGCGTTTCTTTGTCCCTAAATAACGATTCTGTGGCCCTCATTAACAAGTCTGTGTCCCTGAGTAATGGTTCTCTGTCCCTAAGTAACTTCTCTCTGTCCCCAATTCTCGTTTCTGTGGCCCTAACTCTGTCCCTGTCCCTAGTACAGAGCGGTCTGCCTCTGTTCAATGACTGCAGGCAAATGAAGATTTCCAAAATGGCCGCTATATATACCTCGACCATTACACAGTGCTGGCTGGCTGGCTGCTGATTGGCTGATGCGATCACATGTCGTTGAGGAATGCATTATGGGGCAGCGCGCCTTGTCTGCGCGCCTTCCCCGACATCCCCGCTCCGTTTAGCCCAGCAATGGCAAACTACGGCCCGCGGGCCGTATACGGCCCGGCGGGACCTTTTAATCCGGCCCGCGCGGAGCTAGGCTCCCGCAAGGCCAGTGGTCGGCAAGCCGCGGCTCTTTACAAATTTAGATGCGGCTCTCCTGTGTGCCGGGGCCCCGGGCCCCGCTCCCCTCCCTCCTCTCCTCCTCTCCCCTCCCTCCTCTCCTCCTCTCCCCCCCCCCTCCTCTCCTCTCGGATGGCCGCCCCCCCTCTCGGATGGCCGCCCCCCTCCCTCCTCTCGGACGTCAGGACTCTGCAGCTGTCAGGATGTAGGCGGGGCAGCGTGACGAACTCCTCTCACAGTCCTCCCTGAAGACCAGAACGGCGCGGGAATACGAGAGGAAACGCGCGGACCAAAGGTAAGTGAATTGACACAGGGGGGGGGGACTTACTATATGGGGGATGAATTACTATATGGGGGACTTACTATATGGGGAATGAATTACTATATGGAGGACTTACTATATGGGGAATGACTTACTATATGGGGGACTTACTATATGGGGAATGAATTACTATATGGAGGACTTACTATATGGGGAATGAATTACTATATGGGGGACTTACTATATGGGGAATGAATTACTATATGGAAGACTTACTATATGGGGAATGAATTACTATATGGAGGACTTACTATATGGGGAATGAATTACTATATGGAGGACTTACTATATGGGGAATGAATTACTATATGGGGGACTTACTATATGGGGAATGAATTACTATATGGAGGACTTACTATATGGGGAATGAATTACTATATGGAGGACTTACTATATGGGGAATGAATTACTATATGGGGGACTTACTATATGGGGGATGAATTACTATATGGGGGGATGAATTACTATGTGGGGGATGAATTACTATATGGGGGATGAATTACTATGGGGGATGAATTACTATGGGGGATGAATTACTATAGGGGGGATGAATTACTATGGGGGACGAATTACTATATGGGGGACGAATTACTATATGGGGGAACGACGAATTACTATATGGGGGATGAATTACTATGGGGGATGAATTACTATATGGGGGATGAATTACTATGGGGGATGAATTACTATATGGGGGATTAATTACTATATGGGGGATTAATTACTATGGGGGATTAATTACTATGCTTACTATGGGGGAATATTACTATACTTACTATGGATGACACATACACATCATTCATCTACTCTTGGTCCGGCCCCGGGTCCAATATATGAACCCATTGCGGCCCTCAAGTCAAAAAGTTTGCCCACCCCTGCCTTAGCCCATAGTTGAGCATACAGTCCCCAAAACACAGAACTTTGTATGTGTTTAAAAAAAAAAAATCAAAGCTCATATTAAAGTGGAACTACTCTGCATCTGAGCACCACAAAGAAAAAAACACTATTTAATTCATTTTTAATATTTAAAGCAAACTCACCCATCCACACATCTCCCCGTGCTTTATTTTGCTGAGATATCACTTTGAAAAACACTCCCCTGTCATTTCTGGCTGTGGTCAATTTGAGTAAGGGCAGATGATTAATGTAGCATCTACTTCCTGCAATCCATCTGCCCGTAGCTCAGGCAGAAGGGTGTGCTAAGCTGAGAAAGCTCTTCCTCCTCTCCTGAAGCCTCCTGGGATGTATGACATCATTTGCCTAAGCAAGAAATCAGGAAGTAAGAGTAGAAACTTTAAAAAGAAAGTTCAAAACAAGTAAATACACTGTACTTTCCTATCTATTTACTAATGCTAGGAGCATAAGGATGAAAAATATTTAATATTGATTGAGAGAGTGAAGTTCCACTTTAACTATGTTTCTAGATGAAAATTGGCTAAATCACTCAGATACTGCTAAAGTGGGTTGTGTAATATTAGCCATGTAGGTTTGAGGTGTATCAGTAAAAAGGAACTTTGTCATACACATCTAACATCTTAAAGGCATCTGTGACTGCCTAGATCTTTTGTTTTGTGGATGACTCAGCTGTGCACACATACCCTCTAGATCAGAATCTGTAAAGAATAGGTGAAGTGGTGTCACAATGAAGATAATCCATGCTTTACTTCTAGAAATGTTATTCTGGGGTATGGTCTCTAATCATTGGCAAATTAGAAGGTTATATCACAATGTAACTGCAGAAATAATTTGACATTGTGTGTTTTTATAGATTTTACCACAGGTCAAACAGTGACCCAATCGACAAATGATTTACTAAGTAAAGAAGGAGAATCAGTGACCTTCAATTGCACTTACAGTGGGGGGTATCCATCTCTTATGTGGTACCTCCAAGAGCCAGGCAAATCCATTATATTTATACAACATGACCAGTCTACGCCTGATGACTTGATGCCTAGGTTCAGACATCGATTCCTCGCAACTTTCTTACGACAGGAAAGATTATTCTCCCTAACAATATCACCAGTTACAGCAGAAGACTCAGGCGTTTATTACTGTGTCCTAAGACACACAGTGTTCAAATGCAATGAAACAGGTGTACAAGAACCTTAGATAGGAAGGCCAGTCACTGACACAGATGTTATTTAGCAGTGAATTGTAGGCAGGTAGGGACAGGCTTAGTCTGCTGTGTTGAGTGTTCCGTATGCAATCCTATGTCTGTTATTTCAAATGTAGATAAGGTAGTTTATACTGCAAAGAAAGTGGTTTAGATTTTAAAACCTATGTGTTAAAGGGAAGCTGTGGTTACTGACTTATTTGTGGCTGTGAAAAGTCGAGTACCGACATCCTCATCCTTTCTTCACTACTTATTGGAACATCAACCCAAAACAAGTATACTGGTCAAGGGTTGTGGGTAGTTGTGCTTAATAATAACTTCAGTCCCAGAGCTTTTGTGTCAATTTTGGGCCAATTAGCGTTTCACTGTTATAGTCCAGCGGTGTCCTCATCAACATGGGAACAAGGTGCTTTGGGGGGGAGCCCCCTCCACTCCAAAGCACCCCCCCCATGTTGAGGACATGTGGTGTGGTGTGGTATGGTTCAGGAGGGGGGGCTCGCATGTCCCCCCCCTTTCCTGATGTCACATACCTGGTTGGGAAGCCTGACGTGGAGAGAAGGCGTCCTCTTACAACTCCCACTCGGAGCCCCTGATAGTGGGAACAGAGGGCGCAGAGCCAGGTGTGGCACGATGCCGGGTAGATCTGGAGCTAGCTAGGTGCAGCAGCAGGTAAGTATGGCGGTGACCAGGATGCAGACCAGGTGCAGGACCGTGGGGTGCAGCAGCAGGTAAGTATGGCGGTGACCAGGATGCAGGCCAGGTGCAGGACCGTGGGTGCAGCAGCAGGTAAGTATGGCGGTGACCAGGATGCAGGCCAGGTGCAGGACGTGGGTGCAGCAGCAGGTAAGTATGGCGGTGACCAGGATGCAGGCCAGATGCAGGACTGTGGGTGCAGCAGCAAGTAAGTATGGCAGCCGTCAGGATGCAAGCCAGGTGCAGGTACAGGTAAGTAGGTGCAGCAGAGTCAGACAAGCCGGGTCAGTATTAAGCGAGCAGATCAAGTACAAGGAAGCAGGCAAACGGATGGTCAGGGATAGCCAGGGTCGGTGCAGGCGGAGTTCTTTCTTAGTCAGGTCAGATCAGGATACAGGCAACAGAATCAGGTTATAAGTGCAGGGACGTTGTAGACCAGAAGGCATTGATTTTACTGTTCTGCAGGTTTTAAATAGCCTAGCGGTGACGTGTACGCTACTGCGCATGCGCGCACTTCCGCGCTTCTGCGCATGAGCTCCCGCACGCTCCCACGCATGCGCACTCGCACCGCTATGGCCCGAGGGGAAGGACCGTCGCGCGGTGACAGGATCCCTGACACCTATCCTGCCAGACTGCATGCTCAGATAAGGGTTTGGGATGGATTTTGGGGGGGACTTCTACATCATTTTTTTTTTAGGTGTGGGGGTTCCCCTCAAAATCCATACCAGACCCAAAGGGCTTGGTATGGATGAAGGGAGGACCCCACACAGTTTTTTAAATAATTTTTTTTAATTGCCAGCAATTCTTTCTTTTACATTCAACTGTCAGTGGGGAAGTCCGCTGGCAGCTGACACATTAACACATGGTGTTCACTACTAAAATACTGCATGACTTGATAAAATAACTCATGCAGTATTTTAGTAGTGTTTTTTTGGTGAATTTAAACTTTTTTTTTTTTAACCACTAGCCTACAGGGAACTTAAACCCCTTCCTGCCCAGGGCAATTTTCAGCTTTCAGCCCTGTCGCACTTTGAATTGAACGGTCATGCAACAATGTACCCATATGAAATTTTTACCATTTTTATGCGACAGATAGAGATTTCTTTTGGTGGTATTTAATCACCTCTGGGTTTTTTATTTTTTGCTAAACAAACCAAAAACAACTGAAAATTTTGAAAAAAAAAAATGTTTTTTCTTAGTTTTTGTTTTAAAACCTAAAATAAACTGTAAATAAGTGATTTTTCTCTTTCACTGATGTGCGCTAATGAGGCCGCAGTGATGGGCACTGATAGGCTGCACTGATGGGCACTGATAGGTGGCACTGATGGGCACTGATGAGGAGACACTGGTAGGTGGCACTGATGGGCACTGACAGGCATCACTGATGGGCACTGAAAGGCAGCACTCATATATGGCACTGATAGGCAGCACTGATAGGTGGCACTGATAGGCGGTACTGACTGGCACTGATAGGTGACACTTAAAGGCAGCTCAGATGGGCACTGATATGTGGCATTGATGTGCACTGGTAGGCACTAATATGTGGCATTGATGTGGCACTGATGGGCACTGACAGGTGGAACTGATGAGCACTGACAGCTGGTATTGATGGACACTGACAGGTGGCACTGATGGGGCTACACTGATCATCAGGGCACACTGATTATCAATGCCCTGATGATCAGTGTACATGTCCCCTCCGTGGAATGCCGATTACCGGCTCTCCTCTCCTCTCAGCGTGACAGCTCGTGAGGAGAGAAATGCTGATAACCGGCATTTCCCTATTTACATGTGATCAGCTGTGATTGGACACAGCTGATCACATGACCGAGCCAACTGATCAATGCTCTTTCTGTTGATCAGTGATCTGCTGTGTCCTAGGGACACAGCGCACCACTGATCGTCGCACTGCGAGCTCCCAGAGCCGCGCACACGCGTGGTTAGAGTGGGAGGACGTCATATGACGTCCTCCCAGAACGAGCGAACCACCTTGCGCCCGTCATTACCTTATATGGTGATCAGGAGGCGGTTAAATGCTATGTAGTATCCTACCGCATATTTGGATGTGGTAAGATACTGCATAGCGAATTGTGCCCAGTGAGACTCTTACCAGGCCCCCTACTAACCCCGGGCCCTTGTGCAATGCCCGAATGGTCAGTTCGCCCCTGATCCAGCCTAACTTATAATAATGAGTAGAACAAACTAAAATGCTTTGTATAAGTGTAATTCAACACTTCATAGCTCCATATACTCCTGAGGAGAAAATTTCTGTGCAAAATGCTTTCAGGAGTTTGCAAATGCCTAAAATCCTCCTCCTAAATTAAGGGAGGTGTAGCATATGACTAAAGAGCGCAAGAACCAGGTTTGACAGGTGTTGTGGGAAAAACCTTAGAGTGCAACAGGTGAGGTGCAGTGTTGAGATGCAGAAGTTACTGTGGTTGGCCAGAAATAGCTAGAGTAGAATTAGAAAAGAGTCATGGCCCCCATACTTGTGAGCACCATGGAAAGGTGCTTTAATGATCCATAAACTGTTGAAGCAGATCCAAGCCATACCTTTGTGAGAAGCTGTGTGACATTCTCTTACCCAGCTGTGAATCAAGTAGGCCAAAAGCCTTTTCTATCACATTCATCATAAAATATGAAGCATAAGTGTCAGTCCCAGTGACTTAGTTTTCTCCTAGTTCTGCCAAACTCTCAACCTGTACCTTTAACCACTTGCCCTCCAGAGGATTTACCCCCCTTCCTGACCAGGCCATTTTTTGCGATACGGTGCTGAGTTATTTTAACTAACAATTGCGTGGTCATGCAACCCTGTACATAAATGAAGAATTTATGTCCTTTTTTCCAACAAATAAAGCTTTCTTTCTGTGGTATTTGATTACCTGTGCCTTTTTTTTTTTTTGCTCTATAAACAAAAAAAGACCGACAGTTTTGAAAAAAAAAATATTTTTTACTTTTTGCTATAAAACTTATCCAGTAAAAAATTTAAAAAAATCAATGTCTTTGCTAAAAAAATCCCAATACATGTAAATTAATTGGTTTACGTGAAGGTTATATCGTCTACAAAAGGCGGTATATATACTGGAATTTTTTTTTTATATACTACTAATGGCAATGATCAATGACTTATAGTGGGACTGTGGGACTGCAGTGGGCATTCTGACACTGGGAGGGAACTGACTAACTGCCACTGACATCCCTAGTGACACCAATACAGTGATCAGTGCTAATAAAAAGCATTGACACTGTACTAATGACACTGAGCAGGAGGGGGGTTAACATTTGGGGCAATCAAATGGTTAACTGTGTGCTGTTTTACTGTATGTGCTGTGTGTGTTTTTACATGGGAAACATGCTCCTGTGTATTTCTCTGCTGCTCCCATTCACATCCAAACTCCTCGAGCGCTTAGTCTACACTCGCCTAAGCTCTCACCTCAACGACAACAATCTCCTCGATCCCCTACAGTCCAGCTTCCGTCCCATACATTCCACCAAAATTGCCTTACTCAAACTCTTCAACAACATTCTAACCACCAAAGCTAATGGCCACTATTCAGTGCTCCTACTCCTTGACCTCTCCGTGGCCTTCGACACAGTCGACCACCCCCTCCTCCTCAAAAAACTACACTCCCTCGGCCTCAGAGATTCCGCTCTCTCCTGGCTCTCATCCTACCTGTCACAACACTCTTTCAGCATTACCTATAATGCTACCACCTCCCCCTCACTCCCCCTCTCTGTTGGGGTCCCTCAAGGCTCCGTCCTCGGGCCCCTTCTCTTCTCCATCTACACCTCCTCCCTTGGCAAACTCATACTACATCACTCTCACGGCTTCAACTACCACCTCTATGTCGACGACACGCAAATCTATCTCTCAACCCCCCACCTCACCCCCTCAGTCTCCGCCTGAATCACAAACCTACTGAACGACATATCAGACTGGATGTCGCTCCACTTCCTTAAACTGAACCTCTCCAAAACCTAGCTCCTAGTCTTCCCCCCAGCCCGCACACCACCCCCCATTGACTTCTCCATCATGTCCAACAATGCCACTATCAGACCTGCCCCACAGGCCAGAGTACTTGGTGTCATTCTGGACTCCAACCTATTCTTCCAGCCCCAAGTCCAATCATTAACAAACTCATGCAGACTCCACCTCCACAACATCACCAAAATCTGCACGTTCCTAACCCCAGAAACCACTAAACAGCTCATCCACTTCCTCATCATATCTCGACTCGATTACTGCAACTCCCTCCTCACTGGCCTGCCTCGCCACAGGCTATCCCTGCTTCAGTCGATCCTGAATACGGCTGTCAGACTCATTCACCTTACCAACCGCTGCGTTTCCGTCACCCCCCCTCTGCCAATCCCTCCACTGGCTTCCGATTGCGCAACAGATCAAATTCAAAATCCTAACACTGACATACAAAGCTGTCCACCATACTGCCCCAAATTACATCACCGACCTAATATCCAAGTACCACCCAACATGCACACTCCGCTCCTCACAAGACCTACTTCACTCTAGTTCCTGGTCTCCTTCTCCCATGCCCACCCCCAGGATTTCTCCAGGGTGTCACCCATCCTCTGGAACTCCCTGCCCCAACCCATCAGACTATCACCTACTCTCCTCTCCTTTAGGCGCACCCTGAAAACCCACCTCTGCAGGGAAGCCTACCCCACCCCCTGCTAATTTTGCCGACCTCCTCCACTCTGCCTAACTGTAATGGACCGCCTAGCGGCACCACTAGCACTCCACTGGTCAGGTGTCCCCAGAGCGCGGAATCTAAGCCCCAGGGTACTTGTTCACCAGAGCCCCTGATGGTGGGGATGGACTTGGAGTACCCCGAGACCAGGTCGCAACTACTGAGTACACCCGTCAGTGGTAGGGGTGTTCGCCAGGGGCTCCAACAGGGGAGAGCCTGATATGAGGACGCCGGGTGACCCCGAAGGGATGGATGGATGGCTGAGCAAGTGCAAAGTCAGACAGGCCGAGTCGGTAACAGAGAGGACGGTATGGTACAAGGCAGCGGGCAGAGAATCGTCGGGTCACACACCAGGTCAGCAACAGCAGGTCAGATCTAATGAGGGGCATTCAGCAGAGAGGTCAGGCAAAGCAAGGGTCTGGGCAGGAGAAATCAGCAGGTCAAGAACAATCCAGGTCAACAACTTACTAGGTACAGGTTCGCAGGATACAGGATGCAGGTAAGACCAGAAGGCACTGAATGACAGCTCAGGGTCGTTTAAATATCGCGCCCTGCGCTGCCATTGGTGCCCAGCGGGCGGCCGCAGCTTCTACTGCGCATGCGCGCGAACACGAACGCCGCGGCCAGCCCGGACCTAGTGCCCGTGTCCCTGCACAGGGCGGTGCACTGCGCCTGCGCCGGGACTATCGCTGCGAGGATCGCGGAGATCCCTGACACTACCACTCCATCCCCCTCAGCTATCTCCTCCTGTACCAATATCCCCTCCCTCCTAGATTGTAATCTCGAAAGAGCAGGGCCCTCGAACCCCTCGTGTTTTGCATTGTATTGTTACTGTACTGTCGCATGTTCTGTCCCCCTTTGTAATGTACAGCGCTGAGCGAACTGTTGGCGCTTTATAAATACTGTATAATAATAATAATAATAATAATGTTATTGCTTGCAGGAAAGAGACCTGTGCTGTTTACACACAGGTCTCCCCCGTCACTGTTTCTCGGTGATCACCGGGTGCCGGCGGGGAATCGGTGATTGACATCTGCAGCCACCGATGGCGGCATGGGTAGGGCGGCATGCGCGCGCCCCCTACCCGGAATTGGAAATCACGTATATATATGTGATTTTGTGCAGCTCTGCTGCCCCGTAGCAGTACTTCTGCAATCGGGCAGATGGGAAGCGGTTAACGAAGAACTCCAGTCAAAAATAAAGAAAAAATATCAAAAAGATAAAATAAAAGAGCAGCTTATGCTGCAGTAATCCTTTAATCCCGAGCTTTCCTCAGCAGTAAGCCTTTCCTGCCTCAAGATGTTCTCAGTCTTCCAAGTTGAATGATGGAAAGGATCATTTACCCACTTCCTCCAGGCTGTCTTGAATCCACCCCCAACTTGTGACTGGACAGTGAAAGGAGAAGCAGCACTGTAATTAACTCATCCCTCTTTAACTCTGTTTTCTCTTCCTATTAGCATGCTATATGTTAGCACATAAGCTGGTTGGCTTCCTGTGCTGCTTCTTCTTTTCCCACTCTGATCTTTACTGTACAGAGACTGCACAAGGCTGATTCCATATCAGTTTCAAGTACTTGCACTACTTCTGTTTTAAAAATACATTTAATAATGTACTATTGAATACAAAGCTTCAGTAATTTATCTCTGTTATGTGGGCCTAGCATTCAGTTTGAATCCCTTTATGACCAGAGATAAAACAAACCTCAATGCCCAGACCCAATTTTTGCAACTTTGACATGCGTTAGTAAACTGTGCATAGAATCGCAACTACTTTGGGTATCCAGGTGGATACCTTGCCTTTTTAAGGACAAATTGTGCTTTCTATGGAAGGTAAATGGTAATGGATATCTCCTTTTTTTATTATCAAAGGATAACTGACCCAAAATAGTAACTTTATTTTTAATTTAGCTGTATTTTTCTTGCTATTATCATAACTTACTACCAAAGAACTCAGAACAGATTCT